GTTTTAAAATTACATCAAAAACCAAAATCGATTTTGTCGAAAAATGAGTGTGCGTAAAATTTCCCGTTTTTCCCTTAATTTTTAGTTTGTTTTTCTCAATCATTTCGAAAAGTATTTAGAATTTTTCACTTTTGACCCCCCAAAGTACCAACTAGATTCACTTTCTGATCGAACGAGGTACTGAAGTCAAAAATCGAAGCCCTTTTCTGCCCCAAAACGTGATGACAGACACACACACACAAAAAAAAAAACACACATCATGGTAAAATCAATACATTCATCGCTCCGCTCAGAATCTAAAACGTACAAACTTTGAATTTTGGAATTGTGGTTCTTCTAAAAATCTAGAATCTATAGATGTGTAACAAGAAAGGATTATCGAATATTTGCATTTTGAAGATATGGTCAAACAGGGATCTTGAAATTCATGGTTGAAATTAAAACTTTTTTATTTGTTTATAAAAATTTTTCATTGTGGCATAGTCTGCAGATTTTAAAAACAATAAAAGAATTGGTTTTTTTTTATAGTTATACATAAATAGTTGCTTTTGATTATTCTGGTCGATCAGACACAAGCATAATATACCAAATTGTCGTTCTTATGGCATCGAATAAAGATGTTAAAACAGCAAAAGTATGTGTATACATCAGAGTTGGGTAAATTACTTTTAAAAAGTAATTAAGTTACTTTATTTGTTACTCTAATAAAATTACTTTACTTTTCAAATTGAAAAGTAACTCATTACTTTCTCATTAAAAAAAAAAAAACATTTGTTTAATATTTCTTAACAATATTATCTTGTGTCTGGCAATAATGTGACTAGAACTACATTACCTATAGTAAATAGATATAATTTGAAAAAGAAATCAATATAATATAATCAAAATAATACAATATTATTATTTTATATTTATTTATGTTTTAAATTAACTTTACACATTAGTATATCTTCAAAGTTGTTGTCACTCATACGCGACCTTTTTTTAGAACAAATGTCCTCTGAAACACTAAATAATGGCTCTATACAGAAGCACTGGATGGTAAAGCTATGTTGTATTTAATAAAAGTATTCTTTACTAATGTCATTGAATTCAAAATTGTAGTTAGATTAGCTGTATAAGGAGCTTTAAGAAATATATATAGTATATTACTGTACTAGATTGGTAAACATAATAATACTCATTACTCGCATTATAGACATATTTTTTTTTTCAATTCGCAAAAGGTAGGTACTTCATAATTCGAAACCGTAACGCGTTATTCAATAGAAATTACTTATCAAATGTAATTACACCATTACATTTTCGTTACTTGGAAATAATTCTAATGAAATWACGTAACATGATACTTTCGTTACGTTACCTACTACCCAACACTGGTATTTTATTATAGACTCAAAAGAATTAAAAAATCACAAATTTTATTTATTTTAATTAGAGACATCAGAAAAGTTTGAAGAATAATTAATTTAAACCACGTAAAGAAATATATTACTCAGAGCTAAGTCCAATCCGCGACTTGCGGTTGACCATTTAGATACCTACCTAGACTAATGCCGATTTGCCAGTGAACTGGGGTACACTCAAACCGAGATACATCTATATAAAATATAAAATATAAACCAAAAAGAATTTGCTATAAAAAAAAAAAAAAAATTGCACACAGATAAAGCCAGGATATTCAGCTAGTTATTATTAAAGTACAGGGAATATTTTACTTTTAACACCTCCCCCACCAAAAAAAAGTATCAACTTTTTACTACCAGAAAATGATATTCAAACAGTTTTACTACTCCAATAGGTTATAGCATTATAGATGATGACACATAAAAAAATTTCAATAAAATCAAAACATCATAAATCATTATATAAAACAAATACATTCATCATTTCGCTATAAGAATCTAAAATCATTGTTAATAAATGAAAGTCTAACATTAAAATCCTTAATTACAAAATGGTTGGAAGTAGAAGTTTCTAGGAAAAATAACAACAAATTGTTCAAGAAAACATTAAAACAAATGTATTATATCAAATACATAATATATTTCTAAAACCTGAATTACCAGAAAACTTATCTGGTAATACAGATTTTCAAAATATTAATACATATACATTTTCAATTAAAATATAAATATGTAGTAATTTTATTTAATTACTTACACTAATAACTAATTAATACAAATTGACTAAGCTATAAAATGTATCAATGACATTTCTTTATTACATAMAATTAAYCATTGGCAGCCACATACACTGTTATAAGCCAGTAAAAAATTGTAATATAAGAGAATTTGTGTAAACAATACATTTTAATACTTTCAACAAATTTGTATATTTATAAACATAAAAATGTAATTACATTCATGTATACTTTGTAAATATAATTAATAAACATAACAACAAACTTACTAGGAATGTTTAATACTGTTTATTATAAGCGCATGTGAATAAACCAATCGTAAAAAATTATATCACGAACATCATAACGTCAGACTTGAAAATTGATGCTCATCTGGCTTTTGCCACTAACAGTATATACACATAATATAATAATTGAAGTCAATTACATTAATATTGTCAATGTTATCATGTTGCTTACATACCTTTTGTGCCGCGGTAAACAAACAAGTTTTCTCTAACTTTGAGAATTAATAGAATAATAAATATAGATATAAAGTCGAAAAGACATTCCAAAAAATATTTAAATAAATTAAAAGATGCTAAATTTAAAATTTAAATATTATATCAAACGTATACAATAMGATATATGTAGAAGTTTTAGAAATAGAATAAAAAGGAATATATAGTTATGGATAATAAATAGTTATAAGGTATCATTTAGTACGTGACTTGTGTCGCCTTTGAGCCAACTGACTTAAAACTACTGGTCCTAAATTAGGAGTTGGCGGTGACTGACTAACTGCTCGGTAAGTTGCTTCCATTGCCCCCTAAAACCAAAATCAAGGATTATTATAAACACTTAAGTAATAACATGTGCAATATTTGAATAACCTTAATCTTGTACGATTCTTGCAACTGGA